CTCTCTCAGATTACTCTTTACTCATTACATGAACAAATCCATCCCAGATTAGAAAATTGTCCAGTTTTCAGTCAGATTATCTTGAAGTACTTTTAGGTTTCTCTTCACTTTAGACATTCCTATTCAGATATTATAATAATTTAACTGTTTCTCCAACATTATAGTCAATTATAGCTTTATCTTCGATTGCACGTAGCTTACTGTCTTGATCATTTTTAAATCACGTCATTATCACAGCATTTAAAACATAATTTTTAATTATGCTGTATGCTCAGGACCTATGCCGGTGCCTGCACAGTAACTAGTAACTAAAATGTAGTAGCTAGTTGTAAAATTTGTTGTAAAATTTGTCCTTTTGAAGTAATTATAAAATAAACCACAGTGTCTAACAGGACATACATTTAGTGGGCACTGAGACTAAATTAAACTTTCTATGCTTTTGGGCTAAATGTGAATATGTACAATTATGAGTACTAATACTTGGCATATTGTTTTCTCGGCCCTGCGACGGATTGGCAACCTGTCCAGGGTGTACCCCGCCTTTCGCCCGATGTCTGCTGGGACTGGCTCCAGCCCCTCCAACCCTGTATGCAGGATAAACGGTCGACGATGGATGGATGGATGGATGGATAGATAGATATTGTTTTCTCCAGTATTGTCCTCTCTCACTTTCTCCAGCAAATCTCCAAGAAACCACATTTGATTTTTGCATTATGAGAGTAGTAGGTGGATAAGTGTGATATAATGACACAGAGAAAATGTAATAAAATAGCAAGGCGGAGAGTGAATTGGGGATACACAGTGAGGCCGGTTTGCGCAGAAGAGGGGAATGGATGGACAGATATGCAGAGAGTTTCAAGGCCAGGGAGAAAGACTGTTTGTGAGGAAGAGAGAGGAACAGAGTACAAACCAAAGGACGCTGAATAATGTATGTGTATGTGTGTGTGTGTGTGTGTGTGTGTGTGGTGAGCTCTTCAGGTATATCACCAGTGGCCCTTTCACTTTTGCAGTGTGTGCGAGTGAATGTATGCTCGGCTTAAGCAGTGCACAACCACAATTACACAACATTAAAGTGTCTGTCTTTACTTTGTTGTCTTTTTTCAAATCTCCAGACAACAAATATTACACTCACAGTCTACTATTGTTCTTTTATTTTTGTACATCTCTGTCCTGTCTGTATTCCACTGTGCCGTCCACTTTGGCAACGTTTTTAATCAATGGTCATGCCATTAAAGCTTCACTAGATGGAACAGAATTGAATGCAGGGAAGCAAAAGGGGGAGACTCAAACTCAGCTTTCTTTCTTGCTGTCAGGGCAATACTTCAGCTGCTTATCACCCTGCCAGAGGAATTTATTCTCAGATTTTTGTCTTGGATCAATGTGAGGATTTAGAAAGATATCACTAAAAAAAACGTAACAAATCCTCTTTGAGAGAGGAAAAGTGAAAGGAAGACATCTAATAAACCATGTCAGAGACATAACAAATTCAACCACAGAGTAGAAATCAGTTGTGTCTGAAGTGGAGACATGCTGAGGGCTTGGCAGTTTGGCATCATGTGCTTTTTAATACAACGTGTTAAGAAAAACACTCGAGAGACAAGACAAAAGTGCATGCTCGCTGTGGATGTATTTTGTGTAATTTTGCTATTAAGTTCATTAAATTTCTTCTTTCTTTCTTTAATGAGATCTGCACTAAGGTTCCAGTCATTCTGTTCTGTCTGAGGATATTGGGAACTTTTCGCCTTTTCTGTTTTTGACTGTCTTTCTCTCTCTCTGCCTCCATCTCTCTGTCTGTCGCTCCCTGATGGGGGTTAAGTGTTCAGGTTAATTGCAGCCCTAAGTGAAGCCTCCACTGCAGCTAAAGAGGGAGTTTTCACACCATCCTTAATGTCCCCTATTCTTACTGTCACACCATCATCTGTCCTCTATTGTTTCAAAGCGACCCTTTGGGAAATACAGTGGGCTGTCTGTTCCTGTGTCTCTCTCTCTCTCTCACACACGAGGTTATTGGCACATTTGCAGTGATATACAGTTTTCTTAAGCTGGTGAATATTTGGGAAATATTCAATACTGCACACAGAGCTGTTGTTTACAGCACATAAGCATTGGAGTAAAATCTTCATGGCTTCATGTTCGAGGTGCAACACCACACAACAGCCCATTGTTTCTCTCCTTGATGTCTCCGTCTCCTGTTTCTTCCCTCTCATCTGTCATCCCTCCTGTGCTGCCAAAAGACAGCCAGGAGGCAGGGAATAGGAGCGGGGTAATAACAGGGAGGAAAGGAAGGGAGGAAGGATGGGAAGGGAGATAGAGAGAGGAGAGGGGAAGCAGTATGTCATAATTGCGCAATAGAAGGGGGAGATTTGTGAAAAGTACAGAGCGATGGTTTTCACCTGCTGCGCTGTGGCCAGTCAGTGAGCTCTAGTTTAGTTTTAGATGCTCTTAAATTTTGGAGGTTTAACGAATCAGTAGGAGTGCATGTGATCTAGCCTAGCCCCACGCCACCCCACTCTGGTTTCACATGTGCATGGGAGGAGGGGACATGCAGAAAGTAAGAGTTTCATTACTCGTTGATTTCTTTAATAATGTTTCACCTATTTTGTTAGTAGTAGCACCTCTAGCCACATTTTATTTGATTTGGTTGGGCCTTGATGTTGTTGGTGTAATGTATTTGTCAATGTTTAATTTACAGTGTATCGCCAATGAGTTCTGCTGCTCATTATGAACCAACAGCTATGTAAGGAGGGAATGTTCTTGTGTGATCCTTTCTAAGGCTTTTTTCTGTTTGTCTCCAATTTAAATGGTTTGATGATTGATAAAACATGTGCTCAAGTTTATTATCATAATTACTCACACATGGATGCTTAGTGCGATAGTTCCAGCCAAATACCTGGCTGTGCCTTTAGTGTTTTTGTCTTAGTGTTTTTGTTTTGTTCTGAAGTGTGCTACTGAGCTTCTGAAAAGATTTACTGTAGATTTATTGGTAGGCTGCACAGCATCCCCTTCTCTCTCTGTTCCTCTGTCACTTGGTGCTTACTGTCATTCTGCTTCACTTTCTGTTGGTCTTTATTTGCCTTTGTTTTTTACTCCATCTCTGCACTGACTTCCTCTCCCTCTTTCTCCTCTCTAATTCTATTCATGAGAGGTGCACACTCCATCATTCTGTCTCCCGGTATCTCTGTCTGCCCTTCATTTTCTCCACACCTTTCCGCACCAGAGCGAGATGGAGGGAAGGAGCGAGAAAGAAATGGAGAGAGAGAGAGATGGACAGATTAGGTGACAGTGATAAGCGATCGATCTCAAGGCCAAACAGCCCAGGGAGGATCCCCCCCCCCCACACACCGTATTCTTCTTTTTCCACTCTCCACTCCTCTGTTCCTCTTACCTCTCTTCTTTTCTCTCTAACCTTTGTTCCCTTCAGACTGACAAGGGTTCATTAAGGATCCACTTTGTGTGTATAAGTGCACGCAAGTGTGTGTGTATCTGTATGTGTGTGTGTGCACGCACACTTTTGCCTGTCTGCCTAGATGATAAGTCATGAAGGATAGCTCCCTAAGGTGCCCCTAAAGAGCTTTTAGTGGCTTTCGATCACACGCACATAAGCGTACACACCAACACACACACAGGCCTCATTAGAGTGTTTTACAAGCACAAAGCACTTGGTTGGTGATTGTTGGTCGTCAATGCACATTGGTTCATGTCTGTGTATTAATTGTGCACACTGTTGCTCTTCTGCTCAAACCCATTGCATATAGGAACACCACAGTAACCCCCTCCCCTGTCAGACCCACCTCCCATCATCCCCCCCTGTGCCTCAGAATGTGTCCACCACAGCACATTGCCCTAACGAGGTTGTCTATTGATCAAGTGATGCTCTTTGTTCTGGACGCCTAAATGGACCTTCAGCCACTCTCACCAGGCCTTTATGGGAGCTGTTATGGCTTTGGCCTGATTACAAAAGAAGCACTTAAAATGCTCAACGCCTGATGTTTTATGCAAGAGCACGCTCAGCTTCAGAAGTGTATGTCTGCTATATTACAGCGTTCCCTAAGTGTAAGCATTTCAGCATGCTTTACCTCGCGCTGCTCACTGATGGTTGGCCATCAGTTTGTTTTTAATGCGAGAGAGTATTTGTTTAGCGTAGATGCTGAAAAATCTGAGCAGCTCAATTGGATGTACGTTCACAAACAATTCCTGTTGATTCACTCAGACGCTCACTTGTCTGTGCATGTTTAAATTCTTGTTTGTACAGCATTTGTATTCTTTTTATTTTTGTGTGTGTGTGTTTGGGTACATGCATCCGTGTTCGAATGTGTTGGCGTGCCTTCCCGTGTGTCGGTTTAATTTAAGGCCAACCAAGTGTGACCGGGGAAGCATGTGGAAGCATTACCCACAATCCCTTTCACTAAATCCCATGGTTTCCCTCCCCTCACTGCCCCCATCAGCTCCCTACCCTTGCCACATCCTCGTGATAAATAAGCTTTTCCAGCCAATCATTCCCTCCGCTGTTTATTCATGATGCATCCCCTTCAAATATTTCACCATTCATCACGGAAAATATACTGAGTCCGAGCTGATGAATTATGAAAGTTATGGCTGTGTGTGTGTGTGTCTCATAGACCATCTGTATCATCAGTAAGTGAGTTTAACACAGCTTCTACTTTTGTAGTCTTTTGTGAAACACTGCTTGTTTCTGGTATTACTTTGATCCATTGTCATCTGTCAAATTTGCTTAAATGAGATGTGCAAGTGCCCTGTGTAGTTTAACAGATGCCTCTTCTCTCTGCCTCACTCTCTCTCTGTCGCCATAAGTTAGCTTATTTCAGTCAAACAGCATGAAACCAGTCTGATATTAAACCCAACTAACCCCGTGTATGCCTCATACTGCATGCTGGTGTGCTGAACTCCAGAGATGGTCAATTAGATAGCAACATATGATTTTCATCCTAGTACTCTGATAATCTCCCTCCCTTTTCTTCTTTTGTCTGTTGCCTTATAACATTTTCACTCTTTCATAATCATATTCTTTTGCTCACACACCCTTTATTCTTTGAAATATTACATTTCTTTCATGACAGAAATAAAAAGTTTGTCTTGGATCATGTCTTCTTTTTCTTCTTTTCCTTATCTTGATCTGTCTTTTGCTCACTCCCCAAATATCTGCCTCGTGTTTCTTTTTCCTGTAGCAGAAACAAAAGGTCAGCAGTATTTATGGGAATTCGTGTTTTTATTTCATTGCCTGAAAAAGGCTGGCTTTTCAGCGGAAAAATAGGGAGGAGATATCACTGGATCTGTTAACAGCTGCGTAATGTCAGAAACTGTAAAACATGCAGGTGAGGGCGGTGAGCAGGGATTAATGTATGAGATGATTTGTGTTTGAATTGATCCCCAACACCTGTGGGAGGCTTCAGCCAACCCTACTAAGCCTGCACTGCTGACTTGATATGAACCATCACCTTGCACTTACACACGCACACACACTTGACTAATGCCTCAACTTGGACATCTCACCAAGGCAACTGTGTGTGTCCGTGATGAAGGGGCCCCTGCTGTGTCCTGATGGGGACATCAATACCAGACGGTTTAGGCTTTCGACACACTAGCATCAGTGTGGAGAAAGAGCAGCAGGTGGAGTGAGGCAGGCACAAAATGGAGGACAGGCACAGGGGATAATATTGGACGGACTGATTATTTTGTTGATTGTGTAAATATTAACAACATTGCTACAGTTTGTGAGAAGGCTAAAAAAATACAATTCAACAGAGTTGTTTTTTTTTTTAACAGTTTACGTTATCTCGATGTGACAACCGAAGAATATAAAATCAATTAAGCCCCTAAACTATTAAAGATTGTTGTAATAATACACCATATGTACCATATGCAGTAACATATGGTCCTACTTTCAGTCGCCATATAATAATCGCACCCTCTTTTATAATACTAATTGATAGTAGTTTTATTTTATGAGGTCTTGCAGTACCCAGCCATGGTATGTGGTGAACGTGCAGTATGCTGTGTTGAAGCAAGAAGCCCTGACAGCCAGCTCAGGTCAGAGGATGAGATGAAGGAGACAGCTGGGGAGGAGTGTATGTTCAGGGATGTATGGACGGAAAGGATGGAAGGCATTCTCCAACTGCGCTAACTTTAGACCACACATGTCGGTAAACCTCCCAAAACCTGTCCACAGCGTGTCACCACTTGCTTCCATAAAACCCCCCTTGTGAGTGTGTGTGTGTGTGTGCAAATGTGTGCACATTTCTGGGTGCATATATTCGGGTGCGTTTCTCTGTTTGCGCAAACCAACTAGAGCGCATAAACAAACAGCACCAAAGGGCCAAATCATTTGCTAGTATAACAAATGCACTCTCTGTGTTGAAATTGAATTTTCTTTCCAGAAGCTTATTGTTTCAATTTCCTGCTCTGCGAGGCGAGTTCAAAAGTTCATGAACTCACAGTTGGAAGTGTTAACAGAATGCAGCTTGTGCCCACCAAGACATGACCTACAGACCTTGTTTCAGTGCCAAACTTTCTGTCTCCCTCCACAGGGGAAAAACTCAACCAGGCCAATTAGTTTGAATGCAGAACTAGTTTTCGTTCAGCAAGAATCAATCAGTATCTCTATTGTCAAAGGAATGATTTGGGAAGGGATTTGTGTGTGTGTGGGTGGGTGTGTGCATATATTTGGATAAGTGGAAAGATGAGGTCTTGGTTTGCGTGCACACAAAGGTAACACGTGGACATTCAGCTTCGCCTTGCTTTATGTATATTTTCCTCTTCCTAGAGAACTGTTTGGATGAGGATAGTTTTTTTCCTGTTGTGAAGCTCATGCAGATACGAGAATGAGAAGCACGGAGAGATAGAGTCATTAACAGACACCCACAGATATCAACAGAAATGCACAGACACACATATGCACATACAGTAAGGTCAGCCCCCACACACGCGGCGTGTTTGTAACACTAATTGCCTGCGGCTGACTCTCCAGGACGGCAGAACAAAGCTCGTTTGACGTGACACAAAGCTCCGTTAAACTGACAGAGTTCCTGCTCCGTCAAACTGGGCACTTTAAATAGGGCTGATTTGGGATCAAAGGCAAGGACAGGACTGACTGCTCACACTTTGCACAGTTTGATCCTGTTTGCTGCTCTTTCCAAAGAGAAACACACTTGGTCTCATCACAGGGAAACAGTGGAGGCAAGGACAGTTCCACCATTCGTGCAAAGTATTTATAAGCTGGTGCCATCACAACTGACATGGAAAGACACCCTTTCAATTCATAACATTTTCATGTTCACACAGAGACTTTCAAGTGTGCTGTGATGCATGGATTAAGCCATTTGTGGAACATGAATCTGCTACTGTAAAATACAGAGAATAGGAATTGAATAATGATTCAAATACACTGAGACTGAAACTAATGTTGATGATCACAGCAACTTAATTAATCAGACTTAATAAAGCACTTGTTGGTGCTCGCCAAAACATGTTTGTTTTTTAATAATTTTCTGTTGGATATAGTTGTTTGCCAGATACACCAAATATGCAGGTTGTCTGTACGCCAACACTAGAACAAGGTCTGTCTTCAATAACAAAAGAAAAAAAAATGGTGCCGATTTAGGGCCTCCATCATGTAAGCCAGTTATAATGAGAGCAATACAAGGATAACTGCAAACTGGCCCTGAACTATAGGGTTCAAATTTTAGGGATTTGTGGGTGCACATTCATGTCATGTGCATGTATGTGTGCATTCAGATTTGTGTGTGTGTCGGTGTGAGCGTGTGCAGGCTTGTGTCTATATTATATAGTGACCTTTGCTGCCCTATATAACGCAGGCATTGCCCACAATAAGACACACAGCCCAAGTAGCCGACACACCACTTAACCCCCTGCCTGGGACCTTGACAGCTACTCCATGGGAGGCTGACCCTGAAGGTCCTGGAAAAGGCTTCATACCGAACGCACACACACTCACAAACACACAAAGTTGGTGCATTAATATAGACTTCCACTCTGCACATGTATGCACACACGTGCCTTTAGTGTAGGAGCTAAAGGACCATATAGCTTTTAAACAGTCATGAGGAATTAGCAGAGAGGCCCATGTGTCAGCCCCCCCACTGACATCAACACTGTTGATCCACCTGGAGTTACAGCTACTGCTCTATCCTCTTGACCGCCTTCCTATATCTCTTTATATCAATATCTCCCTATGACACACACAGTACATGCAAACAGGTGCAATAATAAACATGGAAATGTATTCAAACACAAATATGTAGAACTGTTTCACTTTTATCAAGCAAGAATTCCAAAAATTCACAGATTTTCATGTCTCCAATATTAAGATTTGCAGCGCGTCTCTGTTTTTCATCACTGTAGTTGTCAAGTTTTGGACTCCTTTTCAAAGTAAAAAAGCAATGTGAAGACATCACTTTGGGCTCTGGGAAAACGTGATGGGAATCCCCCCATTTATTAGACTAAATGTTTAATCAGTGTGTAAAAAAAATAAAATCAACAGATTAACTGATAATGAAAATAGTTTAAAAGCATTCATGTATACGCTAGCCTATAGAAACGGAAACTATGCACGACTATCTGTGCATGTAAGCATACATGCTTGTTTTGCAGCTGAGCAAATTATTTAAAAAATCTTTCTCATGTCTATAAACAGCAGTCCCTTGTTGGAAAACATTGCTGCCTGTGCCAAGGCTCTTAATGAAGGACTTCCATCATCTCCCCCATAACCATCTGCTCTTAAAACACTCTGCCTTTTACAATCAGCAGATGCTCTGGAAATTACCACCTATTCCCCTCCGCTGCCACATCAACCACATCCCCTGTCTGCTAGATCTCCGGTTCAATAACGCAGTCATCACACTGATGGTGAATTTTGATTGTTCTTAAAAGTTATGATTGAACTTGAAAAGTTGTTATCTGACTGGAGAGAAGACAGGGCCGTGCAGCCCCTGTAATCTGATTGTTATCATTGTGATGGGTTTTAACTCTTAAGATAAAAGTATTTTATTAGCCCTTTATAAACCCTAGATTCAAAATTTAAAACTTGATTTGTGTAGCTGCCAGGAAGATAGTTATCAAGGAATATTGCTGTTTCTTTGTTATCTGATGGATTTGTCAACACTGTCTCTTAAGGCTGTAGACTACATTATGACTAAGACAGGTACACTGTCTAGACTGATTCAGATAATAGATGGGGCAAAACATGACATGATGACATCACATAATGAAAGCTGTTGGCACAAGCAGTTATTCAAAGAATCCTTCAGTACAGTGAAATAATATTTTTTTCTCTTACGAGTGTCCCTGATAAAAAAAAGAAAAAGAAAAAAGTTCAAGCTTTCCTGAACAATGTAGACTATTCTGAAAATAGCTGGGTAGAGTTTAGATCATGGGCAGGTTTCCTCTAATGTAAAATGCCAATGTTGTACTGCATTTCACTTCACAGCCCACTTGTATTGCCTTAAGACAGTAATTAGTGTAAAAATGAATGGCTGATACATCATCTCATTATGTGAACAAGCTAAACTCATTAAATTAAACTTTTACAAGGAGCCCAAGCGTGGGAGAACTAGACGAGGAACGATATAGATTATAGTGAAAACCATGGGAAAATACACTTAGAGCAAATATTTGTGACAGGAATCCAACAAGCTGTGGCATATAGTTTTAAGTCAGTGGGAAGGGTGCTTGATGACTAACAAAACATTTCTAGAAATTGGTTTTATCCAAACCAGTCTGCTCAGGCTCATGTAATATGAAACTATCCAGGAGTAATCAAGACTGAAATCTGCAACTGACCCTGGAAATATGAGAGTTAAGCTGAGGGACGAAGACCCGAGTATTAACCAATAGAGATACCTCTCATTTAAGCAGACTGTTTACATCCATATGATTCCTAGCAGCACTTGTTCACCTCTTTATAAGCAGCTATACATTCTCATGTACAGTGGATCAATACATTTCATAATGGTATGAAATGGCAGCATGCCAGGATACATATACAATTCCAAATGAAGTGGCAGACTTTTAAAAAAAGAATAATCTTCGCTATCATAACCATAATATATTATGTTTGTACAGTAATGAAACTTAAATTTTCTTCAGCTGTGTAATATTCTTCTTTGACCACATCATTTCAACAGCTTCTCAAAAAAGTGTCTAC